ATTTCATTTCTTTCTTGGCTTCAATTCAGTGAAGAAATGCATCCCTATTCAAGACACAGAGCACTTGGCATTTCAGCAAAGCACACCTCTTCAATCCCCCAGTTTGCATTTTGATTTTCGGCAGATATATATAGTGAGTATTTGAGTATCAGAAACATTCATGCAATTGTCATGTGAATTCCCAGGTATATACTTTCCAAGAAGTTGAACCATTTGGTGCAAGGGTTAGGAGATAGATGAGGCAAGGGGGGGAAGAGTAGAGTTATCATCATAACTATATAATCCCCCTCCCTATCTATATGCCTTCAGCTGGCATCATAACAGTACATGTACTTTTCAGTGAAAATGTTGAATTTTCTTCGGAGGGGCCATCACCTCACATCTCGGATATCCTGATTGCATAAAAGAATGTTTGCCATTCTTTCATTCTTATCTCCGGGCCTTTTTCATACCAGAGTTGGGTTGGTACTGATACTTGTGCTATTCATTCCATCTATGGCCACTTTCAACGTCGGGCGTCGTCATTATAATCGAATCAAGAGGGTAGAGTCCGCTAGTTGGAGAAAATGTTTCAGATAACGGCCAGTGTATGTATATTGCGGAATACGGATAGTCCCACACCTCTCAGTCAGATTGGATGGGGAATCAGTATCAAGGCTACAAGTGAGCCAATAGAGCAAGGTGATAGATAAAATAGTTACATAGTAATCAAAGAAATGTCAGTGTTGAAGATAGCCAATGTACCTCCGAGAGCAAGAATACGGGTAAAAGAGCTTTACCAAAGCCATATAGTTATCAAGCTCAAAAAGTGAACAAAACATATCCTTGAGAAGAAGCATTTTCGTCGGGACAGAAGCTCCCAAAGAAAAATCCCGTCCATTATTGATATTCTCCATTCCCGCCACGGCGCATGTATGTATGCTTGCTTTGGTTGGATGGTTTGACCAACTTCCCGCACCTGGGGTTATGCCTATGATAGGAGAGTATGACTATATGAGGGGTACAAAGGATAATATAGAGATTTGTGTCCGTATTCCAGTGATTCATATATCGTAGGAATGAATCGCCGGCCCCTATAATGACGGGCCAGCTCCAGCTAGATAGCAGTCTGCAACCCCTGCTCCTCCTCACGGCGCAATATGTGCAATGGGACGGAAGAAGCAAGGAAATATCACGTGTCACGTGACGGTTTTCATTCCGAAATATTTCTCAAACCTCAACCACGCCAAATTCAACCTCAGACTCGCAATGGGAGAATCGGCCGCCAACCTCACTACCTCTCTACTTATCTTCTAATTGGCATCCATGTACATATTTCGCATATAGAATTCAGATTTTTACCACCATGGAGACCCGCCATATTGCTCGGTCCATAAATCTCCTCTCCTCCTCTCGCCGCTCCATTCTCCAGAAATGCCCTCTCTCCCGCTCCTCGACCTCAATTGCCGCGTTTACAAGACCAATTAGCACCTCAGCACCCCTCAGTGCATCCGAACAATCCACTACTCCCTCTCAGCCAGCACCTGAAGGCGGATCCAATTCGCCGCCGCAACAATCCCAAAGGCAACCACAACTTGGACAAAACCAACCGGTCAAACCCTGGTCGCCAGGCAATATACCGAGGGGACCACCTGGAGGCCCAGCTTCCCGCAGCGCCACTAGCAGTAGTAGTAGCAATAATGATAGCCTCGCCCAAGTCACCGACATACTAAATAATTTCATCCCCCGCTCAAACCACCCGCGACAGGCTACCAACCCCTTCCAACCGCGCACGCCACAAGACGCAGCAATGTACAGACAGGTGCGCGATGCAGTGGGTCAGTCGCAAAAACTCCGGGTACCCACCGTCAACATGCGTCTGGGCCCTGAGCTGGGCCGCACCGTCGCCGTAGACCCGAAGGCAGGCGTTGATGTCGCAACGGCTTTCCAGATGATGGAGACGAGGGTTCGGCGGAATAAGGTCAAGACTATGATGATGAAGCAGCGGTTTCATGTTAGGAGGGGCCAGTTGAAGAAGCAGTTGAGGAGGGAGAGGTGGCAGAAGCTGTTCAAGATGTCGTTCCAGCATACGGTTGCGAGATGTGAGAAGTTGAGGAAGCAGGGGTGGTGATTGGTTTTGGGATTGGGGAATGGTGTTTTATGTCCTGGGGAGAGAGGGCCACGACCCACTAGAATGATAGAGATGGGTGGTGTTTTTGCTTCTTTCTTGCTTCTGAGAATTCATGGGTTTATATTGGGTTTTGTGGAGAGTAGGATAAGGTGGAATTAGAGGGATCTCAGATAGATGTGTGTAAGGATACTTTCTGATGTATTAGTACTATTTGAACTTCAATTGCAACTATTTTGTGTAATTTCATCGTGTATATAAGAAATATTTTGTTTTTAAAGACTAAATTCAAATATCGCTGTTATTTGAGATTTGTTTTATACACACTATTAATTGTTATATAATGATTAATTGTAGTAAGTGAATTTTACAATTATTTTTCACAGTAATAAATTTCTATACAAATATAATCCGTGAATAATAACGGTGTAACTACGAAGTATTGGCGCGCGCCTAAATTAAATAAGCTCTGGGCGATCAACATCGTCTCAGATGTATCTGTCCAATCCACCTGCAGCAATTCCTCGAGCACTGGCATGATGAAACTGGCTGCAGATCAAGTTGGGCTACAGGTGGAATTCCACGATGAGCACTGTCGGGAGTTCGGAGGTAATATACATGTACATGTACATGTACATTACATTGGAAGGCGCACTGGGATGGGCTGCTGTATCCCCGACTACCTGGGCATGTTTATGGCTTTCTGATATCCAGACGCTGGAAGAAACGATCGCACCAGTTGCCCGCAGCCCAGTAGTATGATCAGATCCTACCTTCCTCACGAGCTTCAATCTTAGCGCGATTGTCTACTATGTAGTGTGTTTTTGGAACACTCGCTTTCTGTGATTACTCCCGCTGACATCACCATTTCCAGGGGGCTCAACGACATCGATCGATGTCTACCACCTCGAGTCCCCAATATACTCCTCCTCGATGCTCCCACCGTTCTTCGGCTTTAATCCCACTACCACAGTATACAACAACAGAGGAAGCGATTAACCCGACGTCAATCTGATATACGGCTCTCATCATCGGCGCTGATCACGAACACCCCAACTTGTGGTTTGAGTTTGACGCAAACACGGGAAGATAATGAGTCCAGATCTGAAATTGCGAAAGAAAAATTATGATCTTTTTTGACTGATGCTAGATTTTCGGCCAAAAATAGTTTCAGTGTCGCGAGAGGGATGGGTCTAGATGCATTCTCACAAAACTACTCTGATCCAGTCGACATGACCCACAAATCAATCCCTTTTTCTATGGGCGGCAAGGACAAGCAAGGACAAGCAAGGAGCGAGCTTTTGAAAATAGCCTTCTAGTCCCAGGAACGTGTTAATGCATGACACCAAGCAGTTTTCTAGAGAGGCACTTAGCTGGTAAATAACCTGATGTGTTTTGCCCCACTCGCGCACTGCTGGGATGCAAAAAGGGAATTTCACTCTCTCTGCAACCCATCAAAGCATCTGAGGGCTGTAAATATCTTAAATTGAAGGTTTGCTGGCTTCCTATACGTCCAACATCAGCTACAACGAAAATTACAGATCGCCCTTCTATTCCCGAGAATCTCACCGAATTGCCTGGCACCTCAAAGCTTGGAATCTTATAACTGAACGCAAGATTAGTTTAGGTGATGAAATAATCCTCGAAATAGCGGATCTGGAAGCCCTTCCATTACCAGATGTGAACTTACTAGATATGCACTCCGTTTTGCAGCGTCTCCTGGCATTGAGTGGATCCACTGAGCCCTCTGACGACCACCACAATGATGATGACGATGATGATGATCATGAGTGAGGAGAATCTGTCAACATCAGAGACTCACAAGTTGCTGAAGATGAATATCCCGGGGCAAACAGCTGAATTTCCGGTCGGTCTTGGATATCTGCTCTTTAACGTGCACTTACTTTAACGTGCACTTAAGCTCTGGTTGAATGATAGAGAATGTTGACCAAAGGTTGAAAGCATGCTGATATTGCTGTCTGTTATAGCTATTATGTCTTAAAATTTTTTACATTCCCAGATTGTAATCAACTGCGCTAGGTATGTGTTTTCTTTATTTGTTACAATGCAGTCTCGGGATGTACGCAAAAGCGAAATAGGAGAATTATATTCCCAGGCATTTGGCGTTGTTTGTGATGCAGCTAAGACACTCTCATGACATATGGACTCTGTGCTGCTGCAGGGGCTAGCATGAATACCACCCTCTATAGTTGGATGAGTATTCTTTTCTCTATACAGTGTTGCTGCATGTGAGCTTGTTATAATGCATAGGGTATTCAGATCCAACGCCTTGAACTGCTGAGTACTATCTCAATAGTTACAGTGTAACAATCTAAGAACTAAAACTGGCTTTAAAGCCAGTTGCATTCATCTGTTAGCTCATTCATTATATAGGCGATAAAATAAATGAAAAATCTTGTTAATATATTGATTATTAGAGATTTCTAGCTAGCTAGCAGGCTGGCTGCCCACTCTCTATGTATACCTCTGTCTATATTACAAACCTCAGGGGTTTGCTCTGTTCATCTTTGCAGTGCCTAAGCCACTGTATCCGCTAAAATGAATTCTGGGTGGTACATGTACTGGTAACTCTCAGTTGAACCATAATAAGATTATAGAATTCAAGCTGTGTTTGCCCCTTGTAGAAAGAATATTACAAAATTAAAATGTATAACATCAAATATTGTACAGTCCCTCTATACCTCGATACTGAATATTTCCATTTTGTCACTCATCAGATCAAAAGCTGAAAATGGCTAAGGTCTATAGTATATAGATTTTGAAAATCTAATGTTCTCAAATAACATATCCAAAAAGAAAAGGAAAGAGAAGAGAAGAGAAGAGAAGAAAAGAAAAGAAAATAGAAGGACAATTCATTGCTTACATATGTAACTCAATCTTTCTTCCCGACGGAATACCCTCCATACCCCCCATAGCCACCTCCATTCCCATTCCCGTTCAACCCTAGTCCATACCCATTAATCCTACCCTTATCCCCTCCAAAACTCATTACCCCGGTCCCGCCGATGCCAGCACCAAACCCACTAAAAAATGGCCTGTGTCCCAAAATCCCATCCCCCTTATAAACACCCACCACCCTCCTTCTATGCCTCACCCTCTCCACAACCACAGCCAACCCCATCCCAACCCCGACCCAAAAGCAAATAGTCATCAACCGGAAAAACAGCCCAACACGGGGCCCATATCCAAACACTTTCTTCGACTTCCACTTTGCCTTGTCCGACTGAACTAGCCCAAGCACATCGCCGCTGGAAACCCACCCAACCCGAAACGTGAACACAAGCGGCTCGCCGCGGATGACCTTCGCGCCCCCCTCCGCTGCCCAGGGCTGCATCAACATCTCCCTCTCCTTCTTGCGTTTCTTCAATGCCGCCGCTTCGTTGTTGCCGGGGTCGCCGTCATTGTCATTGAAATTGTCATCAGCAGTAGCGCATATAACCATCGGCACCGAGTATGCCGATGCGGCCACAATCTGTCCCTGCGGGAGCGTCAATTTATTCATCTCCTTGTTATTGTTCTTCATATTATGATCGCTTTTCTTCCCCTTCTTTTTCTCCTTCTTCGACTTCTTCCATTTTTTCGAGTAGGACTCAGGGTTAGTGGATAATCGCGCAGACTGGTGCATGAGCACATTCATGTCTGTCCATATATGGAGATGGGACAGCTGCAGGGTCCCCTGCAGCGCGATTGTCAGGGGTGTAAAGGGCGGTTGCGAAGCTGATGAGGATATGTCATTAGTCGTAGAGCCGTCATGTGTTTCTTCGCCGCTGCTGTCACCGTCGCGGTCATTCTCATGGCTGCTGCTGCTGCTGCTACTACTAGCAGAGGAGGTGAGGAGCGGGAAGGTAGGTATGCGACATGTTAATGGAACGTCAGAGTGGACGTAGTATTCAAGTAGGTGGTAGAGGGTGTCGGAGAGAGAGTGGATGGTGCAGGTTATTGTTTCGGAGATGCCGTAGCGGAAAGAAAGCGGGGCGGAGGTTTCGTTGCATGTTGGGAAGGGGATGTATTGGAGTTTTCCGGCCGGGTCGGTGATCTAGATGAGAGCGTTAGCGGTACGTTATTGGGCGAAAATATGTCTATTTTACCCCATGCGGCGGGGAAGTGGAATAGTAATGACCGGTTATATCTGATCGAGGTGTTTTGTAGGTTCAGACATACATGTTCGCCAGTCTCTCTACAATAACGAATTAGTCTAAACGAATACCCCCAAATCTGGCCCAACCCAGCCCGTGCACATTTAACCTAATATAAAAAGAAAAGAACAAGAAAGAAAAAAGACTCACATATCCCTATTCAGACAACTAACCGGCACACTTTGGCCATGGGCATAGCCTGGTAGAATCGATTTAGCCGCCGCAAACCCGCCGCTGTTTACGAGCACCACATTGGTCACCAGGAACAAGGGAAGGATATATTTGCGGCAAAGGGAGGAAATGCCCGGCGGCTGCGACAACATTATAGATACATGTGCCCGGGAGCGGATAAGAGTTTTCGGCGAGTGGGAAACTGAAGAAGTAGAATTGAATTGTAGGTCCTGAATTATGGAGATGTGTAAACAATTGTCCCTGCGCCCAGGAAGCGCTACTATTGCGTTGATTGGCTGCAAATGCGCGCGGGGATTTTGTGGAACCTGGATCCTGGAATCTTTCAGGGCGGGACCGGGGAACTTTCCAAGGGAGCGAAGCATATATATATATATAGTTAGTTATATGTATCCTTTGGCCCTCCAATAATTATGGACCTATCACGAAAAGGAAACATTGAACCCCCATCCACGCTAGGTTTGGCAAAAGGAAAACTACAAAAGAAGAAATAAAAGCTTGCTTTATTATTTACTGTCTTAACACACAAAATATACCCGGACTTTTGGGATTTTCCTCATCGTGATCGTTGTCATCGCTTCATAAACTCTCATCCGTCACAGATATCACGCCGGTTTACATTCCATGAGCTCCCACGGTGACACTTCTTGCCTGTCCCTCCTCTTATCTACAGAAGCGAAGCCTTCTTCTTATACGCAGCGATCAAGCCGCTAGTGGAACCATCATGGCCCGCTCCCGCACCGGGAGTCTCCAGCTCCTTCTGAATCTTCTTCGCCAGAACTTTTCCCAGCTCCACACCCCACTGATCAAACGAGTTGACGTTCCACACCGCACCCTCTGTGAAAGTGACATGCTCATAATAAGCGATGAGTGCACCAAGGGTGCCGGGTGTGATCTTCTGCGCGAGGATCGAAGTCGTTGGTCTGTTCCCCAGGAACGTCTTGTGTGGCACGAGATTCTCCGCGGCGCCTTCCGCCTTGACTTCTTCGGGTGTTTTGCCGACCATCAGGGCTTCAGCTTGGGCGAGGAAGTTAGATGCAAGCATGGTCTGGTGCTTGCCACCCTCGACGGGGTTATGTGACTGTGCTGCGAGGATAAAGTCGGTGGGAATGAGCTTTGTGCCCTGGTGTAGGAGCTGGTAGAAGCTGTGCTGGGCGTTGGTGGCAGGTTCGCCGAATAGGATGGGCCCAGTGGTGTACTTCACATAGTCTCCGCTGCGGGTGATGGCTTTGCCATTGCTTTCCATGGAGAGCTGTTGAAGGTAGGCGGGGAAGCGGTGCAGGTATTGATCGAATGGGGAAACGAGATGAGTCTGGGACCCGAAGAAGTCGCTGTACCAGACACTTAGCAGTGCTCCGATAACGGGGATATTCTTCTCTAGGGGTGTTTCGCGGAAATGTTTATCCATGGCATGAGCGCCTGCGAGGAACTCGTGGAAGTTATCGAAGCCAATGTAGAGAGCAATGGACAGCCCAATTGCGCTCCAGACAGAATACCGGCCTCCAACCCATGATTCGAAGCCGAACATGTTCTTCTTATCGATACCAAATTTCGTAACTTCGGCTTCATTCGTGGAGAGCGCGACGAAATGTTTAGCAATATGAGCGGTGTCTTGTGCGGTTTTCAGGAACCAGGCTTTGGCGGTATTAGCATTGGTGATTGTTTCCGCTGTGGTGAACGTCTTTGAAGCGATTAGGAAGAGAGTGGTCTCTGGGTCAGAGTTCCTCAAGGCTTCAGCGGCATGGGTGCCATCGATGTTTGAGACGAAATGGATTGTCAGATTCCGATCAGCATATGGCTTCAAGGCTTCCGTTACCATGACAGGGCCACTGTAGGAGCGTTAGCATCACACCTTATTATGCGGTGGTTTCCAATCAACTGTGAGAACTGTGTATTGAAGACACTTACAGATCCGACCCTCCAATCCCAATATTGATAATGGTGTTGATTTTCTTTCCTGTATAACCCTTCCACTCCCCGCTCCTCACCTGCTCAGAGAACTCCTTCATGTGGTCCAGGACGGAGTTGACACCTTCCACTACACTCTTCCCATTGACCTGCATGGGTTCATTCGTCACATTGCGTAGAGCAACGTGGTACACCGCCCGATTCTCAGTGAAGTTGATGGGCTCGCCCTTGAACATCTGGTCACGAAGGGCCTCCACGCCGGCCTCCTTGGCCAGGTTTATCAGCAGGTTGAAGGTCTCATCTGCGATAAGATTTTTGGAGTAGTCGAAGAGAATTTCGGACTTGTCTGCGGCGTTGTTGAAGGTGTAGGAGAACTTCTGGAAGCGGTCGGCATCCTTTTGGAAGAGGTCTTTTAGAGAAATATTGCGGCCTGTAGTATTGTAATGCTCCTGCAGAGCTTTCCACGCATTGAGATTGCTGGCCTCTGAAAAGCTAGCCATTGCTGATTGGATGGAACCTGGTAAAGCGGAAAGGGGAGGTTGCTATTTGGCGGGGTATGGCCAAGGGCGTTGATTGAAGGTAAGCCGCTTCAAAGCGATTCAATTGCGTTAAGGACGTAAGAGTGAGCAAAGATAATCTACTCAGAGTATTTCAATTGTGCAGGTCTGCTCCTGGCTGCGCTGGGTGGACAGAGATGGTTGAGGTTGAGGTGTTGAGAAAGAGCGAAGAATTGGACAGGTGGGGGGGTTAAGCCGCGAATCTTATAGTTGCGCGAATGATGCCATGGTGGGGCTTGGCATACTGTGCTCCGTAAGTACCTTCTGGTCTCCAGTCTGGACAGTCTGTCCGGAATATCGAAATACTACAATAACTAGACGTAATCAAGCAACCCTGGCTTCCCGGAGTGATCCTCTTTAGAATATAAGACGTTCTTGTTCCAATAATCGCTGATGCAGGACGATTAATAACAATGACCAACTAGCCGCCGACTTCCCTTCCATCCATGTCTGGGAACAAAGTTCTGTGACATTGCTGTCCGAATACAAGTAGCCGCGCTGTATCATCCCCTATGCGGCTGTTGTTTCGATTCTTACCCTGTATTACCATTATTTGCAAGTTGAATCCTTTGTCGTCTGGAAGAGTGGGCGACGAGGAAGGATAAAATTTTTGCTAGTCGCTCAAGGGACAGGATGTTCTAGAACTCCGCTTGCCAGAAGGGGCGGTTGGGTATCAGATCGCTTGTCCACCTCATCACAGCCTGGAATGACAGGTAGACAGAGTGAGGGTTTTCGTCAGAGAGTAACCCAATGGATAGTTATGGATATGGGCTAGTTGGGCCGGTTGGGGAGTGGTCGGAACGGGAAAAATGAATAGAGTGTCCCACCATCCCACCATATACAACCCACTTACTTCTACGGTGTCGTAATAATAAGGCTATTTGTCTATAGGACGTTGGGTATATAGGAATAGTGCATGAATTTGTCAACGCGCTTTCGCTCTCTTGAAATCTTCAACATCTTTCAATCCCTGCCCTTTTGCCAACTTCAAACAGCAAATATGCCCCAGCATTGTGAGTTATATAAAATAAACTCCTCATGCGTCTTGGCTCGTCTTGGGTAGGGCAGGAGGCAATGTCGAGTCTTCGGAAGGGGGGGAATGAAAACAAGAAGCCAACTCGATTAAATTAACCCGGGAGTTGTGGGAATTATGTGTCTCGATACGCGTATCCTGGGGTGCACTCACTAATGGTAGTGAGTTGCGCTTGGCACGGTTAGTGGACAGCCTGAGACAAGTCCGCTTCGTCCAAAAAAAAGAGAGGAAAAAAGAAGATAGTATAATAAGCTTAAAGGTCGGGTTATAATTCTGTGAATCTACGAATTGTTTGGTTGTTTTTATTTTTATTTTTATTTTGTATTTTTTGATAAAAAAGTCATGGGATCTATATCCCCTTCCCAAACAGACGCAAAGGGCAAGACCCCCGGTGCCTCAAGTAACATCGAAGTGGTACCTCCAGCTACACAGAAGGAGGTTTACAATCGCCATGCAAACCATCAGAGCAACAAAGAGCTGTCATCCTCAAGCAAAACCGGAGTTGTCCCTGACAGCACTCAAAAGGAAGTCTTCCACAACAACCACCCAGACAGCGCAGAAGGAAGTCTCCGTAGACCCAAACGGCGCCTCAGGCAACATCGAGATAGCCAACAACAAGCCAGCAGCATACCTCAAATTCCAAGTCGAGAAATCTAGTGCGCTTGGCCTGATCCTGCCGCAAAACCTCCAGCTCACGATCCACAATGTAACCAACGGCGCCTACTTCCCCACCTTCATCACGACGGATATGCACTGGGAAGATATCCTATCCGTGCTCCCGCCGCAATTTAGTATGTATCCAGTATCGAACACAGGCGTCGCAGAGAAAGGTACAGGTCGGATTGTGAATTTTTGCCCCAGGGGATGGCAGGGATTCACTGGAATGAAGGCTCGTCTTGATCTTGTCGAGAATGGCAATGCAGGGCTGCCACCGCAGAGATGGACAATTAGCCGCAGCGGGTGGACCAGGCATTATAAGATGGAGGAAGAGTTACCCGCTAAATCAGCGCCAAATTCTCCGAACCCGACACAGTTTATGTGGAAAGGCTCCATGGATATCCTGGGTCGATTGGATGATACGGCGCCGCGGTGCAGGGGGAATTTGAAGCTGGAGACGCAAGATGGGAACACGCTTCTGGCTGCGTGGAAGCAACGGCGGGATGATCGTAGAATGGGGTCGTTTACGATATTTGAGGCTGCGAAGGACCTGATTTCCTTTGAGCTTATTGTTGGATCGGGTATTGCTGTTGTGATGGCAGAGCGCGCCTCAGGGGTTAATTTCCTCGGTGGACTTGGGAAGTAGTTTTTCTTATCATTTGATCTCCATTCCTTTAGCAGTTTGTTTCTCGCTTCAACTCTGGAATGTTATTCCTTTTTCCTTTTTCTTTTCATTGCTGTCGCCTCTGGGTGACAAAGTGATGTTCATTCATCTTCGTAACAATTTCATAACCAATGACTGAAATACCAAACGGACGTTGGGTCTCTTATTTATTTTCTCCTATGTTTGATCGATTTAATCTAGTCTGCCTGTCAAATATCAGTTGAGGAAAATCTGTCGACATACCAAGAAGTTGCCCCCCACCCGACCTCGTTATGTAAGCAGACCCTGTGCCAACACCTGATGTAGGATAGTTGAAGGTTGTATTGATAGATCTTGTAGGCTACTGGGGCAAAAGAGCTTGAGGAGAACTTGAAGCCGAAAAGCCGCTTTGGGAGGGGCGGGGGGGGGCGGAGGGCACGTCATCGTTCCATCCACACACGATCGGCCTGTGGCAGGGCAAATGCTTTGTAGTTACATTGACCACCGGATTAGAAGGGGGCTCAGTCTGGAGCGAACCTACAGGAGGGAGCCTTTTTTTCCCCCTCCCATCCCTGCAGGTCCCTCAGCCCCAACGAATGACTGGAGAACGGGTTTCCACCGTGAGCAAATCAACTCTTGTGGATGATGCTCGCGTTTGATCCGAGATTCGAAGGTGATGTGAAGACCCCTCTCCTAGGGTGAGTTTAATGCAGCTTTGTCGTTCGTTTGAACGAGACTTCTAAAGGCCTGACCTTTTTGCTTGTGGGGCTATTTATCACTTGGGTGCTGGCTTGCTGCTTGCGCGGGTTTTCGGCCCGACATGCTTTTTTTATAACCCGTGAGCTTTGTGATATCATAGGTTCTATGAACGGTGTGCGCTAAAATATAGCTATTCAGATATTCAAGTAGTATTTAAAAATATAATATAACAACTTCCCACTGGTGAGCCCGCAGCGGCTAAACTATATGTAAGCTAGAATCGAAAGGAGTGACAGAATCCAGCACAGTCAAGAATATTCATGCAAACGAAATGCCTGGAGCGAGAGAGGTACATGAATCATCATATATAAAGTTCAAGGAACTTTACTTCAGCGGGAAATAACCTCTCGGTACATATTCAAAAACAGCACAGCCCTGATTATTGACCATGTATCAGGGGAACAGGACATGTACTCATATGATGCTAGTGGTTTACAACGCATTTTGCATGAAACTGAGGAATCCCAGCACAGCGGCGGCGCCAGTGGCTACCTTGAGCGAATTAGCACCGCCATCGTACGGTGGAGTCTCGGATGGCATATTTGGGCTCCCGCCAGTTGGATGAGCAGTGTAGCTAGGTTCAGGTTGAGAGAGAGTTGGGTATGGCGGGGTGTCAGTCTCGGTGGGAAGGTCGGTGGGAGTCTCGGTGGGATAGTCGGTGGGAGCATCGCAGTGGTCGTCAGGGGGAGTCTCGGTGGGATACTCGGTGGGAGTCTCGGTAGGAGTCTCAGTGGGATACTCGGTGGGAGTCTCGGTAGGAGTCTCAGTGGGATACTCGGTGGGAGTCTCGGTAGGAGTCTCAGTGGGATACTCGGTGGGAGTCTCGGTGGGAGTCTCGGTGGGAGTCTCGGTGGGATACTCGGTTGGAGTTGCAGGGGGAATGTCCGTGGGCAGATTACTCTTAGTCAATTTCCCAAGACAGGCTTCGGGCCCTTCGCTCTAAAGAAGACACGTTAATTAGATAATTTTCACGGGCATGTTTTTTTTCTGATTGCGGCGTAAGTGAATGCGCTGAAACGAGCAAACTTACATCTGGGCAGCAGCGGCCGTTAGTGAGGCAGCTGGAACCACTTGGGCAGACATCTGGGCAGAACAGGTTAGCTGATATTTTCGCTGGCGATATGTACTTCGTAGTGAGAGATGACATGCATCCATCGCAGCAGGAGTGTCCAAGATTGGGGTTAAAGCAAGATTGGCTTGTTCCACACTGAAGATAGCCGTCTCCAAATGCTTCTTTGCAGGTGTCGCCAGAGCCCTTGCGCCCTTCAGGCTCAAAGGATCCTCCACTTTGGCGGACTCTTAGGGCGTTGAGGTTATCAACAGGAGAAGCGATGCGAGTCCATGTGTTGGTAGCGACAGCGCTGGTCGCAAGCAAAGCGGCAGCGGCGAAAAATTGAGCGCGCATTGTCAGTTGTGTTGAACGACAAAATGACTAATATAGCGTTTCTCTCCGGCCCTTGAAGGGAGTCAATAATTATTTACAATTGATGCTTTAACGAAGGACTGGATATAAATATATCCTATGATGGAAGACAAAAACGAGCGGTACAGGATGGAAACTGTATGGAAAGTAATGGGCGGAGAGGAGGTAAATGGAACAAGGGAAACAAGTGCGAGCCTCTCCAATATAAAAGACTTTTTTACCCAGTCTTTGCATGGAATGGCGCGGAACAACACCCAGGGAAGGGTGTAACTAATCTGACAGCTGACAGGCCCACAGGCAGGGATTCGTGAAGGCTCACGTCCCTTCGCGCCTTGGGCTGAACTTAATAATTTTCATAGTTAATTTTGTGGTTTCCTGCTAAGCTCTTGAGTGCGGGATGACATGGTGGGGATATTGCTGGCAGTTGGGTCGGGCCCCTAGCGGGTCACGATGGCAAAGGCTTCTTATTGAAATCCTACGGAAAATATGATAGCTAGATGCTTCGACCCAATGAGGGTTGCCATGCCGCGAGAGCGAACTCAGGATCAATAATAGATTCTAGAGACCTACTCGAATCCAGAAGTTAGACATGTATGGACTTTATGCGATAAGTCTGGCTGTGGTTGCCCTGGAGCAAACCAGCTGATGAATTTTCCGACTCAAACTGGGGGTGCTCGCGCCCAATTAACCCTTAGGGCAACGGATGCAATTTCCCGGCGCAGAGGAGAGACATAATGTTGACAATAAACCAATCAGGTCAGCTCGTGGTAATCTCACCACATAAAAAGGGCGGCGGCGTGTCTTATCCCTACAGGATGATGTCGTTATAGCGCTGGGATTCGATTGGCTGACCGAAAATGGGAATGGAACCTTCATGGCGTACGCTGCTCAGGCAGATCAGTTGATGGGATGGGGCCCGATCGCACTGACCAGATTAGCGCATAACATGCTTGGCTTTGAGAGCCTTCATTTTTTGGAGCAGGGTGGCATTCCATTCAGGTTTTGTCCACAATTTAATCCCTATGTGCTGTCCATGTGGGATATCCGCGTAATAATACAGAGTAACCGTCCACGGGTTGTCAGATTGACGTTCGTTGCATCGTTGGTCAGCGTGAAATTTGCCTCAAGTGAGCTTGGAATATTAATGCCTTGACTAGCGTTTCCCAGCAGAAATCGGGCTTCATTTGTTTGCAAACGGCTCAGTGTTTCGAACCTCAAATTTAGCGCTTTGGCCGGAAACATATGAGCGGCCTGCAATCGAAATTTCGGATATTTCTCTTTCGCCATTGACAGTACGGCTCGGAATAAGTAGACAAGCCTTTTATAAATACCACTGAAGGCCGCCGTGACCCGTTATTCGTCCGTAGTTACCATCGTCTTGGAAAAATCCGATTGTCAAAGTAGTGCTCGAGAAATTATCAGAGTCCACGTTGCCCCAGCGAGGCCAGCAAGTGTATATAGCCTAGATAGGCGTTCGTGTTCAAGACGAAGATATCAAAATGAAATGTGAACAGTAGACATTGGTTGTTCATTCATTGTCGTCGGTACACAGTTGGCTAGATATACTGCGATCTGGGTTGGCCGACAACAGATAATTCATATATTTCGATCAATTCTAAAAGACATACCACTATTCTTGTTCATCACAGGGTCTTGTCCATGCTGGTGGAAATGTTCGTCCCTTCGCAATGATTCCGTGCCTAACCACAGACTTGGGAGGGAGGTTGGATTTCCGTCGAAGTAGGTGTTAATCTATGTAAGGACTGTCCACATGTTCGGCCCAACTTGTAGAATGAGCGTTTTGTTATTGACATCGAGCATTTAAATACTCTGTACCCCATATGGAGAATAAGAAATATGCGATCGCCACCGCAGAAACCTGGGTGTTCTTGACTCAAACAGAAGGCTACTAGAGCCACTTTTTAGAAAGTAGTAAGTCGATCAATGGGTTAATATATTATTTCACAAATCCAGATTAACAGCAGAGCAAGCTATTCCATAAGGTTGATATGAAGCAATGGAACAAGCTCGACGTTGCCGGTTGCGTCTGGCGATACTCCATGATCACGTGATGCGAATCCCAGCCCAGGCCAACGAGAACCTTGGAAAAAAAGAAAGCAACAACCGAAGAAGAATGAAATCAACGCTTCACCAAGGGGATCACGCATCTCTGTACTGTACATTGCTGTCGACCTACCTGAAACCTCTATTGACTCTTTCTGTGTAGCCTTTGCGGTTTCCCAAAGCTATTTTTACTGCATATCCAACCCTCAGAATCGCAGCGTCTTTTTAGACTTGACTTGCGCCCTTGAGAAGCTATCAGTCGGCGCTGCAAACCACTTCAGCACAAAATGTACAACCCATACCAATGTAAGTCTTTTCCTGGCACGCTGATTTCTCTTTTTGGAGCTTCACAGATTCCAAGCGATGCTAATAACTTTTTTATTTTCAGCACAAACCCCTTTCGGTAGACCACCGGAGTTTACTGCATTCCCAGGAGGCCCCCCCGGCATGCGTATGATAACACCGCCCCCTTATACCGCACATATATACTGATATTAAATCTAGCACCTCCTCCCGGATTGTCAGCCCCTGGGACTGGCCCTCCACCTGCCATGCAACAATCGAATACCCAGCAACCTGGCCGACCAGGTGGATTCCCTCCGAACTTTCAACCCCCCGCAAATATGCCCAATATTAACTTCTCCGCTCCTGTTATCCGCCTTGGCACCTCTGGCGCATCGAAATCAGCTACTCCTATGGAAAGCGGCCGGGAACGTGGAGGAGAGACTGGTGGGAGACGTGGTGGCCAGGGCCATCATTCGTTGGAATCGCAGCGCCAGAATTTACGAGACGCGATGTTACAACTACAACCGCCTACGAAAGAAGAGGTTGTGCGGACTATATTTGTTGGTGGCATAACGGAGGGAGTCAGCAGCGATGAAGATATAGAACGGATACTTCGAACTACGGGGAATTTGAAGCGTTGGATCCGTGCTACGGATGCGGATGAGAAGCCATGCACGTTTGGTTTTGCAGAGTATGAGGACCCTGAGAGTTTAAGCACGGCAGTAGAAGTGCTAAAGGATATTGAAGTACCTGTGAAAAAACCGACTCCAGTGAAAGAGGACGGGGTGGACGGGGACGAGGTTGAGAAGAGCAAGCTACTGGTATGCATTTGATACTACTTGTATTGACATTACAGTGTGCTAACTGATAATAGGTGGTTTTCGATGATAGCTCTCTCAAGTACCTCGAACAATTTGAGTCGACTACCCAGCGAGACCCTGAAGCTGAGCAAGCACGGTTAGATGGGGCTAAAGCGGCTCTGGCCAAAGTCCTCTCCGAGCTTGCCAGCCCGCCAGCCCCTGCTAAAGCGGATGAGCCTTCAAAAGTGGTGGACGGCGAGGGCGATACCCCAATGAAAGATGCAGATGGACAGAAAGACGGGAGCCCTGCTGAAGTTGTTACGATTCCTATTAACGTTGAGGATGAGTTGTCAGATATTCCTGCGGAAATGAGAGAAACTGTCGCAAAAGAAATTGCCGCGTTCCGTGAAAGAAGCAATCGCCGCGACCTTGAAAGACTGAAGAGAGAAGAAGAACTCGAATCTCTAGAGCGAGCTAGAGCCAGTGGATCTAGACCAAGCAGATTAGCTTCACCGCCCCCAACGGCACCAAGTGGCCCTGCTGGAGGTGCAAATGGCATCCCTCTGGGGCCGAGGGACAGGGGTGTTCCAAATGCTCCTTCGGCTCCAAAGGGGTTTGGCCATCAGATCCCAAGGGACTACCAGAAGGGGGTGTCGTTCGTGAACGGAAGCGGGATAAATGGTGCTAATGAAGACGAGGATACCGACGCAAGCGATGAAGAGCTTGAAAGAAGGCGGAAGGATAAGAAAGCCATTGAAGCGGAGAAGCAGTACTTAGATCAAGAAAGGAGATGGCTGAATCGGGAGCGGAGCAGAACAGCAGCAGTGGAGCGAGAAAAAAATCGGGACAAGGAAGAAGATATCCGACTACAGGAGGAAAAGCAAATCATGGCTAAACGCCTGCGAGAATGGAACGACGACGTCGAAGCTAGCCGAAAACTCGAGGAGTACTACGCTGACCGTGGAGTCTGGATACGGAATAGGGCGGCATTTAGAAACAGAGAGATCAACATGGATGAAGCCGATCGTGCTGCAGAGGAACGCGAGAATGCCCGGACTCAACAACAACGAGAACAAGCTCGCGGCATGGCGGACGACTTCCTTGCCCGGCAAGCTGAGGAGTTGGAGTCCCGGACCCAAGCACCAAGAGAGCCACAACGCTTTAAATTGTCTCTGGGTGCAGCAGCACAGAGAGCCCAGGCTACGGCGCGGAGAACAGTGGCGGAAGTCGAGGGTCTTCTTGAAGATGAGGAGGACACGGGAGCCGCCACGAGGCGTCCACTTACTTCTATTAAGTTTGACACTGCGGCTGAGTCGGCCGGTCTTACGGACGAAGAGCGCGCACAGGCGGCAAGACAACTTGCTGCAGATATTCCATCGGACAAAGAAGGCCTTTGGAACTGGGAGGTTAACTGGGAGTTTGTGGATGAGTCTGTGCGGGGCGAACAGCTCAAGCCATTCGTCGAGAAGAAAATTATGGAGTATCTTGGTGTCCAAGAGCAGATGCTGGTCGACGTGGTTGAGGAACATATCCGGAAACGGGGACATCCTCAGGAGTTAGTCGAGCTGTTGGAAGAGGTGAGACCCCGTCCTTTTCCTAATCCCCTCTTTTGCTTTTCAAGCCCCTCTATTTACCGAGTTTCACACGATTGTCATCTTGTTACATCATGTCTTGCAATACTAATGATTATGATTTTACCGTTCAGGCTCTGGACGAGGAGGCGGAGATTCTAGTTAAGAAACTCTGGCGCATGATTATCTTCTTCTCAGAAAGCGAGAAAAGAGGTCTCTCCGGCTAAAATATAAATGTAACTATATGTATACATTTCCATAGGAGAGAAATGATGACTTCCACTTAGTTTATTCGGCGGGGTTCATTCGGATGCAGTGCAGTCTATTTAACCCGGTTTGGTTTTATGTGAGATTCCCTTAAAAATCGTTCATCATCTATTAATGATTCATAGTTATTCGCCCTCTCCCTGGCTTTTATTTTTAATTTGTAAACTAGCTGAAAATGGATGCTTTAGCATTTCCTTTTGACGCATGAAATAGTATTCAACCATTAGTCTGTTCTGTGCTCACGAGTCTTTCAGGAGTTTATTACCTTCTCGTTCGTTTGATACATGGGGCACTACCCCTTACCTAAGGGGCCATTTTTCTCCCCTCATATGATGTGGTTTCGAAAAAGAAACCACTACAAGTCAGTGAAATGGAATCGAGGCCTCTCAATCTTGGTAATGTGGCTCAGTATCACGAGCATGATCTAACCAGGTATATGTGAATTCGATACATAATTGAAATCATAAAGCAAAATGGAATGCCCTTCGATCCTGGTCCTGCTTTACCTTCTTTTAATAGGTACATGTACATACATTACATCAGCCCGCAACCACCCGGAAATTGGGGGTTGATCAATCTCGCGAAATATATAACCTTTCCTTCATCGTCAAGGGATCGCACGATGCCGTCTACACCAACATCGGTGAACCCCCTAGAATCTTTACTTAGCGCATGGATGACATTCAGTAGGTCGTTCTGGCTCCTGATGGACACCCAATCAGCATATTTTCATCATGACGGGCCATCCATATATTGGACTTTGCACTGCAGCGGCGCTTTCTGCAGCGATACCAAGGAGCACAAGGGAGAAAAAAAATAAAATAAAAAAAAGGCGATGCTGAAGCTTCATGATGATGGGTATATATAATACAGGAAGTACCGTCCAATTGAAGAAGCACATTCCGCAGTTGAGGGTAGTCCTTCTCGGTCCTATATCCAAGTTTCCCTCAACATCAGAACTTGGGTAGTCTTGAGAAATAAAATTGGCCCCCGAAAGCAGACAAGATACAGGATTTATCAAGCGCGAATGTCAACTTCTTGTCGAGGATAGACTCTGAAACGAAAACTTCCCATCTGACTGTTAAGGACGGCAAAATCGAAAATTGAACGGCCAATCAATGACTTCCTACCACCTTTCGTCATTGCTTGATCTTGAACTACTCCTGTTCATGACGACCGCACGGCTTACCTCGCCAGATAAGGAATGCCATTCATTTTTTTTTTTTTTTTTTTTTTTTTTTTTAGATTAAAACAACGCGTCTTTAGGATACAGGTCATAATCAGATACATTGCGTCCCTTCCCCCTCCTCATTCCCCCGGGGCTCCACTACTCACCATGGGACTGGCCTGAGAAGATCCTGGACAATCTCAATCGGAGCTCAGGTCTCAAATAGAATGTTGGCTCATGGCCAGTGAAAGGCGGTCGTAGTAGTATCTGGTTCTATATCAGATGAATCTGAAAGCTACATGCATCTACCCGCAGATTCTTATGCGTACGGTTGGTACATGGCCATGTACATGTACGACGTTGGAAGTACTTCAAGAATCCAGCTTCTCTCAAGACCCTTGAACTCTTATTATCTGGCACTTTTTTGTTGCTCACTGGGCGACGTGCCGGATTGTATTTAGCAATTAATTCTTTTATTGAACAACCTGACCTTATTATATATTGGATTTTGCTTCTCTCCTTACCCCCAGGGGCTTCTTCCAACGATCAACAAGGTTAGAAAGAGGGGGAAGCAGATGTGATGTTAAAAGATTATACGGAAATTTATATCTTCTGTCCCCCACTGGTTTCACAACGCACAACGTAGTAATTATACTTCTCTGTACACCCGGTAGTCGCCGTTTTTGATGCATAAATCTTGTTCTGGCCTGCTTGATGGCCCGTATGACGCGACATTCCGTCCCCAACCCCCATCCATAGGGCCGGAATATACTTCCTATAAACGCAATTCACAAAACGATGCTTCACCATAAGAGGATACCGTTTTGGTCCCACCACCCCTTGTCAACAATGCAGAAGCCGAGGGTTGCAGAACGAACTATGCCGTGGGTCAATTGCACAGCTGGAATTGAAAGAAAGGATGAAGGTGGTGGTATTGGTACCCAACCTATGTACATCGTTGAGGAAGTATATGGAAGTAGGGGCTGTGTTAGCTCCCTTGACGCCTCCAGCCAGTGATGATCTAAGTGTTATGCTTTTGAGGGAATTTGGGAGGAGGAGGGAGGTCTACTTTTTTGGTCCTTGCTGGTGATGATTTAGTAAATGTATGTCTTTGTTGAGGGATGGGAATTGGTCGCCTTAGACTGCTGAAGCTGGGGCGGGGGTCTGTAGTTGGGGATCTAAAATAATTGAACGCATCAAAGTGGTAAGGAAGGAAATGAAGATGAAGCAGTTGCGTTTGGCATAGTCAGGGTGTGTTTTTGATATGATCGAAAGTCAGAGAGCAAAAAATGCGAGCCTAAATATAGAGAAAGGGGGAGCAGATATAAAAGTAGCACTGCCTATCGATATATGTCATTTAATAGTAACATGAGGAATTAAGGGCAATGTGCCACCGTGGGTGTAAATTCAGATCTCAGGCGCTCAGATGATCTTCATCAGACAATAGGAAAGACATAGAAGTACATGTATGTACATGTACATACATACTGTACGGAGTGGATGGTAGAGAAAATACGACGGGCACTCGGGTAGTGACAAAAAATCAAGGAGGTCACTGCATTGCAGTGTAATAGCCAGCGGAAAACGTAGATCCAGTAGTCTTTGATATCAAAAATAATACATAACTAGTCACCAGATTGCCACAGGATAGGACAGGACTTCTAAAGCCTCAATTCTCATGATTCGTGGATCTGAACACTGCGAAAAGTTGGAAAGTCCCGCCGCCATCCATCGAGAGTTTTTCTTCATGATAGAACCAAATCTTTTACATAGAAATGGAAATTGGAAAGCAGGTAAAATAAAAATAAAAAATAGGAAAACCAATACGAGTATATTAACAAAGAAGCAGGGCAAAGTTAAAAAACAACAACGGGGATATCTACAGCTTGGCAATCATCGTATTTCCCTTTTGCAGCCATTTTACAGCATCCCCGACAAGTTCGTCGACAATAGCCTTGGCGGGCTTCTTCTCGTTAACCACAGCAGCAACCTTACCCATCAGGTAGGGGCGGGCATTCTCAATCATGTCATCATCAGCATCGTCAGGGAGGTTCTCAAAGTCGTGCTCGACAGGGATGATGCCCTTGCTAGTAAGCTCCTTAATTTCCTCAGCGCGGTTCTCTTCCCAGTTTTGGATATAGGCGTTGTTGCGGACGCGGAGGGGTCGGCCCTGTAGATAGAAAGTATTAGCAATTTTGGAAGCTGGGAAAATGTTACTGTGCAAAAATACACCAGGGAAAAGAAAGGCACGGCTAGGATCAGGCTTAGCCGGGGGGAAGAGCATACGGTGAAAATGACGGTGCGGATATTATCATCAAAGCCAGACGTGCGGACGGCCTCCTGGTGAGGCTCGGGAGCACCAGCCTCATCTGCAAGGATGAAACGGGTACCAACCCAGACGGCGGAAGCGCCCAACATCAGAGCTGAGGCAACAGACTGGCCGTTGAAGATACCACCGGCAGCAATGCACTGTACTGGTTTCTTGGTGAAGGGGCTAATGTGTTGGGCGCACAGCTTGGAAACGGTGGGAATAAGGATGGAAGTGGGGACGTCTCCGGTGTGGCCACCACCCTCACCACCCTGGGCGCAAATCAAGTCCGCACCAACGTCGATGGCCTTCTGGACGTGCTTGGGATGGCCAATCATGTTCATGTAGAGAATTCCATTGGCGTGGAGCTTCTCGACAACCGCCTTTGGTGGGACGCCGATGGCGCACACAAAGAGACGCGTGCCGCTCTCGATGATGATATCGATCAGCTCATCGAGCTTGCCCTTGGTGTAATCATAGCTATATTTGGGTTGCTTGTGTTAGTTATGTTTAGTATGTGTATGTGTCCCGGGGGCCACGTGAGGCTGAAACACATGGGAATTACATACTTCGTCTTGCGCGCATTTCCTCCAACCTGAGGAAGCAAGAGATCAACACCGAAAGGAGCGTTCTTATCATGCAAGTAACTCTTCAGCTCAGCGATCTGCTCCCGCAACATATCCGGAGTGTAGCCAACGCCTCCGATAACACCGAGACCTCCAGCATTTGTAACGGCAGCAGCGAGTTTAGGGCCGGCAGCAACGTTCATACCAGCCAAAAGGACAGGGTGCTTGATCCCTAGAAGATCGGTGGCCGTCGTGCGGAGTTGTTCTACAGCAAATTCAAAAAAAAGCAAAATTAGCAAAAACGTCGCTTTCGTACCATGTTTGGGACTTGATTTTCGGCGGAAAGCCGAAGCATGTGCTTTTCGGGGACTCACGAGGAGAAGCCATTTTGTCTGATTCGGGGAGGGAGTTTGAGAGAACCAAGTAAGTTTTATGGATAAAATAAAAAATATACAAGGATCGTACAGAGGATTTCTGGAGTTAGGTACGGAATAGAGAAGGACGAAGGAGAGAAGCAAGGGCGCGGATATTTATTTCAGCTGCTAATAGAGAGTAGATGGCGAAAGTTGGAGATGCCTCGGCAGAAGTGGCAGCGGTGGGTGGTGCTTGTCGGCTCGAAGACTAAAGCAAGCGTGGAGTGTCGCCTTTCCTCCCCTATGTCCGGCACTTTCGGTTGAATTAACCATATCAATCTGTACCCGAGATACCGTTCTCCGCATCAGGAGACTGAATCCAAATGGACTAGCTATCCTCAGAGGAATCAATAATAAGTAAACATGGCAACGGGGTTGGAGATGCGTTTCGATCTTGCCGAACAATACCCATACATACAGCAGCAGCTCATAACCGCCACTGTGTGGGGAACTCCTCCCAATTTGCCCCTTGCGCGTATCAAGGCTGTATCTGGTAGTATTGATACCACTAAACCAAATATAGGATGGTGTTGCTGTGCCGAGACTCTGCTTATATAATGATCTAGAATTTTATCATGTGACTTTCCAGGACGCATTTGTCTCGGCACGGATTATCCAGATTTCCGACGGCTGAGACAAAAAGGCAATTATCGAACAGCCCTAGTCAGGGCCCAAGGACTCGTGGGTCGCTCAGCCAGCGCATTAGTTACCCCCAGCAGACTACGGAGTACTCTACTACTGCACTCACTCCCCCTGCCAACATGTGTTTGCCTCAATTCGACGTAAGCGCCGCGCCCATTCTTCTCGGGTACTGTGAATCATCCTACCATGTCTGAGGCGCAAGCCAGGCGGAGGCAGCCGGCAGCTGCAAGCTTCCAGTGCGGGCGTCTAGACTATGATTGCTCACGGCCCGCCTGGCCCGATACGATCCATTCCCCTCATGGTTTGCGAGGGCTGCTTGGCTCAAGCGGGGAACTCTTGGCTCTAGGCCAGCCGGGGCCAGGGCTATCACGTGGTCACCATACTCAAGGAAAATCCATGGATGTGGTTAACTGCACCCTCCATTTTCCCACCTATCGTAATATCTGACAAATAAAATCTTACTGCGGAGCTACAGTCTTCTCATTGGCTGAGCAAATGAGATATGGCGAATCCGCCGATTGAGAGCCGCCCACAAATGTCAAACGATGTATTTTGTGTGTGGTGTGTGCGCAGCGCTCGCGATGCCCAACCTACCACTTGCCCCAATTGGTTCAATTTCAAGAGCTCACAGCCTCACAGGATAGCCGACACAATACCACACCTCACAGCTCTCCAAGGTTCCAAACAATTCTCAGCTACAATGTGCGGTGCTAGAGGGAAAAGAGCGGGTCCTCGCTCAGCAAGCTCCATACCAGTGATATCACTCTCATCTCATTATTACAGATTTCCCTCCGTTTGCCTGCTCGTAAGCCTCTCATCCATGAGCGAACGCACCTGTGAGCATGGGATAGCTTGTTCGACAAGGATCGAACTCCAAAACCAAATCCCGATTTCCTTCCGCCTGGATCAGTTTTTGGCTCTTGTTCTGAGATTTTGTGTCTTTTTATTCGTTCATTCGCTTATCTCGCCCCTTCCGCTAACATTCCCTGCCACCAGCAGCGCACAATGTCAGTGTTGTGTTCATCAAGCTCAAATTGAAAGTTTTAAATAAATCCTCGTGAACGGGTGTCCGATGTAATCTAACACGGTAGCATGTCAAACGCAAAGCCTCCTAGTCACACATCAATAACCGTGTATGACCTGTGCGACTCGAAACGGTTTTTTCTATGAGACTTTCAGGTGACATTTACCATTTTTTGGTCACTATGAAACTCTTTAACACGGCAGAAAGGAGTCATCAACAAGTAGAACCATATTTTTTGGTCCTTAATAATGAAAGTGGCCGAAAATGGTTCAATAAACGAGGACGATCGGAATCGGTATTGTTGCCATTTTTTGGGAGGGAGGTAAAATAAAGAAAGAACAGTCCACCAGAGCAGGAGGGCACGCAGCAGTTGACTGGGGGTGCACATCGATTCCTTTAATGAGCTCTTATATCCATAGCAAGAAAAAGTCTATCGATGGTCGGTCTGTCATTTGAACAAAGGGCTCTCCTTTTTTGATCGAGATGACGTTACATAGTTTCCCGCTCAATCGGGATCACAGCAGAACCCACAAAGTTTTTCTTTATGGATTCTTTCATCTTTTTATGTAGAGCCCTCTTAATTTTATTTTTGTCCCCCTTTTCTTTGAGAATTCCCGCTCCAGGTTTCAGAACCAGACTATTCTTGATGCTCTCGTGCCGCTCTCGTGTCTCCTACTGACGAAATATGTCATAGGAATATGAATCTGTTCATCACATTTACAGATACCCCTTATAAGCTCCGCCTTCGTCACCCCAACTGACCTACCTTTGCCGCATCTGATACATCAATTTTTGCCCTTCTCTTTAATTAATTCTCCTATTTATGCATCTTTATTCAGCGACGGACAAAAAGTTAAAAATAAAATTAAACAGGGACGTGCGTTGTTCGGGAATTAAGTTGTTCTGTGGTGGTATTAAACCTGCGAACGCAGCAATCGACTTACCTATGTAGCCAACCAGTTAGGATGGGATCATGAAAAGAAAGAGGACTGATCGTGGAAAAATTCAGCTTCAATTCAGAGCCAAGCTAGGCAACTTCACGATCTTTGGAGGCACAGATCGATGATAAATGTCACAAAAGTGATAACTCGAACAGAAATATCAGTAAACGGATGGATAAGCAAATAACACGCCATGGGGCTTATTGAAGTAGAAAGTCTTATGCACTGTGCCGGAGTTGATTAAAGCAAGAGATGATTGAGAAAAATGTTCTCAAACGTATTTCAATAGAACAGACTTTTCACACAAGAACCAAAAAAGGAACCGACTATGCTCGTCGACATTTGCGGACCGCGTCGACCCTTTTAAGCAGAACGGAAATTTAAGCAAAAACAAACCGGGGGTCAAATCTCCTTTTTCTTTATCAGCTTTCTGTAGCGTGGATAAAGAGAACTCGGCGGGGGGGCCGGAAACAATGGTTCACAGTCGCACAACAGCCTGGGACGATATAGTGAAACCAAGAACCAGGACATGGACGCAGGGTAAATAAGAGAGGAACGAAACCCAACAACCCCCCGATGCAATCATGTGCACGATGCGATGCGCTGGATCGTGCACTCCGTGCTCCCTCTGGATCATGCAAAAATATATTATTCCTCCTGTCAAACATGATTTCTTGGGGATGGGAGATGCAGGACCACAACGGTCATGGCGCGAGTGGCTGACGACACACCCAGGTTTTCGTCAGAGATGATCTGCAGGTGGATTGAGATATGACGCAGGAAAATCTCGATTCCTTCATTATTGGGTCTGCGTGGTTACATGTAGCTTTGGGGGGAAAAGTCAATGGGCCAATGGACCAATGAACCAATGATGACAATTGCTAGCTAGCTCACGTTCTCTACTCCGCTCATTTTTTGTACATGTACATGTACAGGACTCAGCACATTTCGCTTTTGGCTTTTGGGGATATACGTGGAGAGAGGCTCGGATAGCTGCCGTCATAGTTAGCGGGAGGTTAAAAAAAAAAGTATCCGTATAGTCTGGCCCGATCTGAGATCACCATAGCTCAACACCGCCTCTCCATATCCTGGAGCTCGATGCAGCCTTTGCATTTTAATCCTCCCAGCTTTGACCTCATGACTGGGATCCCACATCGGGATCACTTAGTTCATGCCATGCCATGAGTGTTGTCTAGTATTTACCGAACACCGATCGACCCTTATGGGACCGGAGCCAGCAGATTAGAGAGATATTAGAGCAACCCAGAGTCCGGTGACGGAAAGTCAATTTCTGACTACAGAAAGAAAGCTGCACATTTCAGATGAAACAAATTAGCCTCACATCCGTAGCTTTTGTTTCCTGGCAGACTCCTTTGGCTTCTATCCAACTTCGTCAACCCAGTGCCCGCTATCAAAACGGAAATTGGACCTCTTTCTAGCGGAGGAGTATCGTATCAGTGTTGCATCTTCTTGGCAGGTCCTTCCGACGCGAACCACCACAGTTAGTTTGGTCACTAACATAAGCTAGCTTGGTAACCTTGGTCCAAATCACTCAACGGACATCCTTCCATCTTCAGGTCTAATGCACATCTCCCTTGGGGGATGGTGGGCTCGGCATTACTTTTCGTAGCAATTATTTTGTCTGTCCTGGTTTGTGGATCTGGCCAAGTACAAGGGTGAACTGGCCAAAGTCCCCCAAAAAGAGCCATAGGCCGCACCTGCCCGGTAGCGGTATACCAGGATTGTAGCGGCGCATAAGAGGGCAAGGGTTTCGAGTCGCTTAACACACAACTCATTGGCGGGCGGCATTTTCTCACGCAAACGACGATTCCCACATTACCCCTCTGCTGATGGGGTGTGTGCAAGGGGATGAGGAGGGTGGAGGACACGGAATGATGCAACTGCGGCAATGCGGGATGGAGAGCGCCGCACCACCTATGCCAGCAACGAATCCAATTAATAGTCAATAAACCTGCGGTGTGCATAGGAGGGGCGTATTTTATGGGTTGCTAGCATGTCAAGGCAAGCTTTGTTGAGTTAATCTGGGAATTACCCGATCTAGTCCCGCCAGCGACTCCCCTGTCTGTGAGGACAGGTTGGACAGATGTGCATGACAATCATGCTGGCGTCTGAGTTCCCTGGTATGGTGTCTGTTGGCTGTGGCCGGTATAAAGAGGGATATATAGACCCAGGGTGCTGTCGGAGTTTTTGGTACTTTGGTCTGAGAATTATCGACGCTGCGTGTTAGAAGCACATCGGTTTGTCGCTCATATAATATCTAATATATATATATATATTTTGTGTCGCAGAGGGAACATAGAAGCTCAGACCTTTTTCTCTTTTTCTTCAAAAAAGGTTTTTAACTCTTTTTCCTCTCCTTCCCACTCCGCTTTTATATATACCTCACCACCAGCTTCGTAGCTTCGCCGGATATGGGTGGTTGTGCTAGCGTCATTACAACTCAAACGAATCAGTTAGGAGATGTGGTCCGAAGGCGGGGGAAGAAACTCCTTGCTTCCACTTCTCAGTCTTCACCATCACTACCCAGCTTACCGCGAAAGCAAAAGTTTCGGACCTTGATAAAGAAGAACAAACAAAAATCCCTGGAAAAGGCAGAACGCCTCTTTCGAAAATCAAACCCAACATTCAACGACACTTCCAAAATAGACCGCCTGCGTGCAACAGAGTATTCTACCCTAGACAAGGAGGGCCACATTTATTTGGACTATACAGGTGGAGGACTCTATGCCGACTCCCAGCTGCGGGCACATCATGAGCTTCTTGCCCGCAACATTTTTGGGAATCCACATTCCCTCAACCCAACTTCTAGTGCCATCACAGAGCTGGATGAGCAAGCTCGAGCACAGGTGCTATCTTTCTTCAATGCTTCCCCTGAAGAATATATCGTTATCTTCACACCTAACGCATCCGCCGGCATGAAATTAGTTGGTGAAGCATACCCCTTCTCTCCAGGTGCCGAGGTGATATTGTTATGGGACAACCATAACTCTGCGCACGGGGTTCGTGAATATGCTCGCTCCAAGGGCGCCACAGTCTCATATATTCCGGTGACGTTGCCTGAGATGCGCGCGGACGAGTCAGTGATTGAGAACGCCCTTCTGCCGAAGGATGAAAAAATTAGCAATCCCCGCCTGTTTATTTATCCCGCCCAATCGAACTTCTCTGGTACCCAACATCCTCTCGAGTGGATTGACAAGGCCCACGAACAAGGATGTGATGTTTTGCT